AGCATAAAATCCGAATGAATGCTTTCCATACCACATTCTATAAATGACAATAAGAATTCACTCAATCCAAATGCGTTAAGCTAATAAATGATCCAAGCAGAACGCGATGATGCTTTTATAATGGTTTTGTTCCCATAATGATGAATCACATTTCCAAATCTAATACAATTGATCTGCTCTCTAAGACTAAAGGTTTCTGAAGCATATGAGTTTGTAGATTCTTAGTCACATCGGAGCAACTGAAAGATTTCATTGTTTTTGGTATGACTTGAACATAATGATGGCTTAAAAATGCAGCTTCTCATTTTCCCTTAATGACAACCTTCTTTGATCAGTGGCAAACTGAACGTATGGGGTCAGGCCACATAGCGGATTTTATCTCATAAAGCAGTTGGAGTTGTGAAGTTATCGATTCTCCATGAACAAAACGCTTACTTACTTACTTGAAAAATGCAACCTCTTTGAAAAGTCATTCATAAGTCTTGTGAGTCGACGTTGAAGATGTTTTCTCAAAACGCACTGTTCACAGTTGATGAACTTAACTGAAATTACTTGCAGAAACGCAGATGAGAGTCGAATTCAAGAATCGGAGTATAAATTTGCCATTGAACTGTTACGTTATGTGACCCGAAATGGGCACACATCGTTTGTGATATCACCGTTCTCAATCGCCATCACCCTATCGATCCTAAGCTATGGTGCTGTCGGTAATACGCAAGCACAAATCGATAAACTGATAGCAAATGGTAGCAGAACTCATTCTTGTACCTCACACAAAACCCTTCAATTATCCGATCCAATCAGCAGCTCATATTTATAGCAGCCACCACCTCCAGTCAACTGAATATCCTTTCCAACACATTTTGCACATTTTTGCAGAATAAATTCTGAATCAACGTCCCACTCACTCCCTATCTCAAGCCTCCGAAAATGCCCCATGAATGTATAACAACCATTCCAGATGTTCAGTCTGAAGAGTGAACATACCTTGTCCGAGTATGATGAATGTTCATTTGTTATTAATTGTTGTTAATATGCTTACTGTGATGCAATTAATATGATCACACCACAGATCAATCACATCGCNCTTCAAAATTCCTCATCAAATTCCACCATCAGCAACACTGCCTTCCACTCACTGAACCTTATTGTGATTCGACAAAAGAATAACCTCACCTCAATAAACGAGCAGTTCAGGCTTAACACCGTGCATGAATATTATCGTTCTCAGATCATGCTCAACGACTTCTCAAATGCAACGGATTTAATTTCCGTGCGTTCAACTTGTTCACATTACAAAGTTTATCGAAGTGATTAAGCATTCCAGAATGAAATCACCGAAACTGTAGATTTCATTTGCAGTATTTTTTGCGAACATTTTCGGGTAGTTTTCTGGGAACTAGTTTTGCTCGCACGGACACTTGCTGATGCCGAGTTTCAACGGAAAACACTTAAAACATTTGATTTCCTTTACATTATACTGTACTTTCGATAGCACTTCTTCAACGAGTCTCATTTTCAAGGATATTGATGAGTGGATTAGAGCTGAATCCGATTCGTACATTGATACGATTGCAAATCAAGCGAACACACGTCCACAATCAAAAATTCTCGTCTTCAACGCCGTTTGGATGTGGGCTGAGTGGATCAAGAAATTCAAAAACGAAGAAACCTTTCTGAAGGATTTCTATGTGAATCAAGATGAAATCAAACGGGTGTGTTTCTTTTTTTTTTCAGCGTTTCTTTCCCATTTGCAAAAGCTGCTTCATCAGCCAGCTTCACTAACATTTCCATGCGTTCGCTCTCTCAAGAGACTAATTCCACTAGGCTGCAAGAATATATTGTCTATAATCGTTCAGTCTGCATTAAACTTGACGATATGAAGTCAAATTTCGAATAACTTTACCGATATAAAGTAATTTAAAAGGTATTCAGCAAATGTGGTACTGCCTAATTTCGAAAATCATCTACTTCGGATGAAAAATATTTCAGATTTCTTAGAAGTTAAGATGTGTTAATATATTGGAATTTTAAATTCTGCAGCATTGACAAGGTATGTGAATAAGTGTTGTGTGTATTGTGAATAGAAGCTGCATACAGTTTTGTTGAATTCAGGTTAACATGATGCCAATTTGGGCATACGGCACATATCGATATGGCGAGAACGCTGATCTGCAGGTGGTTGGAATACCGTTCAGTGACGAAGAAACGTACATGTATATATTCTTAACGAGGGATAGGTATGCGGTGTTGAATGACTTTATAAAGGATATGGATTATCAACGGATTATCGCTCTGATAAATCGATGTAAAATCGTGGATGTTGAAGTTGGTCACTATTTAACTTAGATTCTTCATTACATTAAGAATCATTGAGTAGCTCATTAAATCCGCATATTACTGCAGAAATTCACATTCTTTTATGTAAATGCGGTTAGTTGATGGCAATTTTCTGTTGATTACTGAGTATTATTAGCTTGTGAGGGTCTAACAGGATTTTCATTCGTTTTAACAGGGTTCTCATTCTTTTCCTTGCTGTTACAA